GGGTTACTGCTGGTTATCATAAGAGCACATGCAAAAAACCCATGAATTGATGTAACATTTTGCAGGTAGCTTTTTAATAGTAATAGGAATCTATAAGAATAAATTCAACATGCTATCATTATTTAAGTATTGTATACAGCCTGTACATCCTTAATCATGGAACGTCTGATACGATTAACGTCACGTCGACTCATTACTTGGCCAGAGTCAAAATGAATGTATCCTAATGAGCGATAAATATTTCGCACGGGCCACAACGAAAGTACAAACGGATGCGAGCGGCAGACGTCACGGAAAGATATCGAAGAATGTTAAGCACCGTTAATAAGCACCGTAACTCGTGATCACGATCAGAATTGATCATTACAACTGTAATGCTTTCGTCAAACCTCGTGTCGTACGCAGAACGTATGGACACTGAATATTTAAACGCCAATTATTTATCAATTTTTCAATGAATGAGACGTAAAGCTTAAGTATGATTAATTACGATCTATAAATCGATACTCTCTCTACTATTTTAGTCTTATTTAAAGTATTCGAGCTATGGAAATCTTTTGAAGTACAGAAGAACTTACAAAAAAAATTATTATTATTTTTTGTATACAACTTCCACAGAATTTCTAATCTAATTCATTTGAATAATCGTAAGACCAGATGATTAATTTTTGTCTCCGTTCAATGAAGATCTCAGTTGCGATGGAACAATGGCGATTTGATTTATGAAGCATTTCCTAAGTACCTGCGTTCTTCTTTCGAACGCAAATTATCGGATGAAAGTCGACGCACTATGAGAATGCGAGGTCAGAGACCGTCAGCATCTCAAGGCGAACGGCTATCCTGACAGAAGAGGAAAGCCTGTCCGTGTCTTCTTTCTTATGTTCTTTCCCTTAGAACGGAAGAAGAGATCAAGATTTCCGAGAACCCCTCTTGAATAATTTAGTGCAATTTGCCATCACGAGCTTAAGTGTTTAGTATCACAGTCAATGTACATAAAATACACTTATATTATATAAAAATTGACAAAAATCTGAAATATATTCTTGCTTTAAAAAATCAAACAGAAGTATGATTACCTTTTTATTTTATTAAAAACATTACAAAAATAAAATAGAATTTACTTACCCTAAATTGTGTATAACGAAGTACTCATGTACAAAATAAATGTCAAGTAACAATATATACATGTTTAAAAATAGTAAATAGATGCTGAATGATTCGTTTGTCCTATTTCATCTATTCTTGCAATAGTACATAATTAATCACTATAACAAAAGCATGGAGCTCGAGAAACTTGAAGATATCAAACGTGAACTCGTTACGAGGCAAGAATATTTTTAATAGGCTATGTAAATGAAAAATTTATCTGCGTGATGCAACGTTCTCGGATAATAAATGAGAAATATATTCCCAGGGCAATTAATTAGCCTTCAAACACCAGATGCGTAGAAGGAAAGTATGTGTAAAGCGATTTGAAATTCTTGAAAGTTCCTTCGATTCTCCGAGTCATTCCCATTGCAAAAAGCGTACATGCATAAACAACGTCCAGTTTCTTTCCATTTCTGTCTCAATTTGTATCTGTCCATCGCGGCTGATTTCGTATTAATTTAAATATTTCTCTGATTTATGTATTTTAAAAAGAAGCACGTATAAAATTATTTAAATTGTTTTATCGATCAAACTAGATTTATCTCTCGTAGTATTGACTGAACGGTTTCGGTTTGATGATTTTCTCAAACGGGAAATCGTTGAAGGCTTTGCCGAAAATTTCCGTGAACGCAGTGGAGACTAGCTCGCTGATGAAACGTCTGGTGACCACGAATCCTGGCTGCCAAGCGCCGTTAATTATTCTGTCGAGGATGCTCTCGAGGACTTGTTTACCGGACAATAAATTCGTTATGTGAAGCTTCAGATCTTTGATCGTCTGCACGTCGACGTTCACCTCGACCTTTTCCCCGGGCCTCTTGGTGATCGTGGTCGTTTGCATCAGGTCGTCTAAAATAATTATAATTCAACCAATGATTTGATTAGTTAATGGCTTGTCTCTTGTCACTTACAAAGAGCCAACGTGAATTTCCCTTTGTTCGCCACGCTGGAGCTGAACACCTTCGCTTTGAACTCGTATAAACCTGACAAGAATTTAGCTGGGAAGCTTTGCGTGTATACAACCTAACAATTGAAATAAACAACAAATTATTCATCTATAATAAAATTTTAAGTACCTCTCGAATTTATTTTTTGTAATTGCGGACTTTAAATAAGAAGTCTATCGACAAACTCTGCAATTATTTAGATTCGATTTTCGCTAATTCACCTTGTAGTTCGACAAGTCGCTGACGAACTTTGTCACTTTACTAGAACTCCATCCGCTCTCGGTGACGTTCCTCAGAGTTAAGGTAAATCCGAAATTCGGCATGCCTCTCGAAGCGGATATCTCTTTGGCGAAGAACGGGTCGAAAGGCTCTACATTATACTTCGGGAGACCAGTTTTAAAATATGGTCGAATCGCGTTTAGCGCTTCTCGTATGCATCCATCGAAACCGGCCACGTTCGGATGGCAATCCTTAAAATAATCCTCTGCAATAATAAATAACAAAATCGTGTAACGATGAGATAATTTTTTGTCATGCTAGATTTAATCATAATCGTGCAATAAATCATCGATAGTAAGCATATAATCATGCGATTCTATACTAATTGCAAATGTTAGACTAAGGGATGTACATCACTTTTATCTATGCAACAGATTTGTTAATGATTTTGTTTTTATTTCTTAATAGAATCCTTAGTAAGTTTGGCCGGGGATAAATTAGGGTCACACGTGGTGAAAGTCTCGTTATCCAATATTGTGGTAATAATTTAGAGGTGCATCTGTCGAAACTTTCATTCGCGTAACCAGGCGAAACGTTGCGTGGAATAATGTAGGAACGATAAGAACCACTGGGAGCAGATCACAACAAAGGATTGCGTAAATTCCAGTGCGAGATTTTTATCGATATACGATGCTGGGAATTTCTTACGCGCTTAATAAGCAATAATTGTATCAATTAAAAATGATCATTTCTGTTCAGAATAATAAAAAATCTGTATTAAAATCTAAAAATTATATATTAATTCGAAGAAATGAATTATAATTTGTGAACTGATGTATAGTATTTATTTCCGTATGCTAATTTCATATGTGCAGAATGAATGAAAGGAATTCTGAGGAATGTGGTTGACGTGTACCACGTCGAACCCGAGTAACCGATAGTTGCACGTGCGGCCAGTCTTATTCTACTGCGGTTACGTTATGCATGTGTCCTTTTCTGGGAAGCGTAATTCCTTTTGCCCATTGCACAGAGCTTCTAATTAATCAAAACAGTTTTCCACTTAATAAAAATATGTGTGTTAATAAAAATACGTCGTTTCTCACAAAATCGTATTAAACAATATTTAAATAAAGCAAGCTGGTATTGTTGAAATGATAAGAGCAATAAATGAAAGTATAAAATTGGATAAATTTTAATAAATATTGCAATTTAACAAATTCCATTGTTCTGGTTTTCTTTTGTCCACCAATGCACCCCCAATTTTAACGAAGCCTAAGCTCTGCTTTGAAATACACTCACCAAATTCCAGGCTTATCACTGTTGCGGACAGGAGGAGTATCAATGCGACAGAAACTCCGACGGACGATGACATTTCTGGTATCGACACCCAATAATCGTTGCATTCACGAAGTTCACGGTTCAGAGGCACAGGAGGAACGCGATCTCGAGCAACACAACAGCCGTGCACAACGAACGATGCTTACGCTTTCACTCTCGAGCGTACATCTGAGAGGAGGGTTAACCGTCTTGCGTTTCGGTGCCAGAATTTTCGTCGATCCTTACATAATCTGGAGCCGAAACACCAAGAGAGATTGGCCTCTCCCGCGCCGGAAGAAACAGGCCGACAGGGAAATAAAACGATCCGACCGCGTTTGCTGGAAACTTTTACTCTGACATTTTTTTTTCTTCTTTCCCCGCCCCGTTTTCTATGTTGCAAAACCTGTACTTTTCACGTCCTTGTTCGCCGATACCATTAGAACGAACAAGACTTCTGAAGGATTCTCGATATCCTTGGTCGTCGCGTAAATGGAAACTAGATAAGAATTTTCCTCTCGTGACCAGGGGATCATTATTCCAGATACGAGTTCTGAAACACTAGTTTTTCCTTAACTCTGTCTTCGAATTATTTAGGAAAAGGTCGAGGAGTACAATAAATAAAATAAATTTTTAATCCTTTATCAAATCTTTTAATTGTAGCAATAAGTATTTCTGGATAGGATTGATTATCGTAGTAGCTGTGTTTACATCCGATGCCCACGTAAAAACGTGCAGAAATTATGCGAAATGACGGCCTGAGAATTTTTTGCTTTCACTTTCGTTATTTGCTCCAATTTCAGCTTCTCGTTTTGCAATCTTGAAAAGGAAACGCTTTCCTTTAAAAACGAGTTATGAAATGGAGTCTTCGTTTCATGTACACATCGTTTCTTACATAAATTTTTTAAATAAATATGTGAAATTTTTTATTGGAACTTATATTTGCAGTATATTTAATAATATTTAAGATCAGAAAACCTGTGAGTTTCGTATCTACTATTAAAATCCGAACTATTCTCAGTTGAAGATGAAAGTGAAATTTTTTTGACTATACCGATTTCTCTTCTTCATCATTTCTGTAAATCATGACATTTTTCGAAATAAGCTTCGTGGTTAAATAATTTCTTCGACGTCTTTCCATTCCTATCGATTTTTAACTTATTTCAATCTTTATTTAATTATGTCACATATGTATTTATATATNAGTAAACGATTGTCGATTCTAGTGCTCCTTTTTAGAGACAACCAGTAACACAGGTCTGTAAAAAGTGTGGACGTTCACTCAAGGAGCCCAGATGACTGACGATCTTCTATTAACAAACTTGAGTTAAAAAATGAGTTAAAATGAGTAACGAGAGACAAAACCTAATAATTGAGTAGGGACCATTTATTAAATTTGTATAAAATAGAGAATATTGAATACGTGAGTGGATGTCAAACATCAGCAAATATCGTCAAATATGAATAAGGGCCTTCGCTTTCGAAATCATTCGAGGCCGCGCAAAAGATCGGTTTAATAATTCATTGACAGGGAAGGAAGACCGAAACGAAAAAGAATCGATAATGAGAGATCGTCGACAAGGAACAAAAGTAGAGGTCCGAGGACGACCGGTTTTAAGATGCACGAAGGACAACGGTTTTCCCCGTCGAGTCTTACTGCAGAATTCGACGGGATCTCGGTATTATCTGGGGTATGTGAGCGCGCTTTCGACCGGGTCTAACGTGGCCTAGTACGAGACTCGTCGTCGTCCGTCGGTCCCAGACGAAGAAGGCGCAAGTGCACTTTGCTGCAGTGAAAGTATCCAGTTAGAGTGTAGTTACGATCTAGCATCTGTCAATGCCCTCTTGCCATAGTCAGTCGATGTCTAGCGGTGCTGTTTAGCCCAGGATTTCGAGCTCGCTTGTCGAAAGCGTCGGTGGTGCCCGCGAGTCCCAGCGCCTGGCGGATTCGATTGTCCGAGTCCACAGCAAACCGGAACAACGATTTTCGTCTCTTGCATCTTCGCATCGGGACAAACACTGCTATGTTCGGGATTACGTTGTGCCTGTTGTTCGTGGCTGGGGTTGCAACTGGTGTCACCACCCTCTCCACCGAGGCGATCCGTGAGTAATTCGGATTATTGACACTCTGCACGCATTACGCGATAGCTTCCTGCTGCAGGCCGGCGTTTGGAGAAAATCGAGTGAAAGTCCGATAAGAAAATATCGGACGAAGCAAGGATTCCTTTTCGATCGAATTACGGATTTCAACTTTCTTTCGTTTTACTGCAACTAACGAAGCTAATAATTATGAGTTCAATTACATTGATTTTGTTTAAATTTTGTTTAGTTCATTTTTAATTCTAAGTTCGATTCTGTTTTTCACTTTTCATTTCTGTTCAGTAAAGTTTTTAATGTGCGAGAATGAAGTTCGGTTTTAATTGGTAATACGGTTTTGAATTTCGTTAGGAACGAGTTGTAATTGTGGTAGTGTTACATAAATATGCTGCGCGAGGTAAAGGGGTCAGTCGTGCAAGTATCCCTAAGAAAAGTCATTCGAATTTCACAATGCATGGTTGCAAATGACAAGCCGTTTGGCAAGTAGTTTTCCACGAGGCCGGGGACAAAGTTTCCGCTTGCCTCATTTCCATCAAGGGCTACTAACAATTTAATCATTTCCATCTTCAGATTCATTTCAATTACCAAACAAATGCCATCTAAATCTGAAAACGAATAAAATTCATGTTTCAAAGTGGCAGAAAATTTTTTACTCAGCTGTTCCGGTACGAGACGTATTTAATTCCAGCTTATTTTCAATCCCAATTAAAGTCCCAGTCGCTGTTGCGAAATATAATTGCAATTATCGTAAATTATTGGCTACGATTTAATGTATGTATTTGTGTAATTGCAGCTGAATACGTGAAACAATGTTCGAGGAGTGACCCGAAGCTGAAAACATGCTTGATCGATGCCTTGCACCACCTGAGACCATACTTAAGCGTAGGAATACCGGAAATCGAGCTGCCTTCCGTCGAGCCGTTCCGCGTAAGCTCACATCTTAATAAATTGAATCTTCGTTCTGTCAAACGAACATTAATCAGATTCATTATGTATTTCAAAATTTACATATTAATAATCCGATTCATTTTTTATTTCAAAATTCACATATTAATGACAGTCGGATTCGTTTAAAAATTTTTCATACAGATGTTTTATATTTTGTTTAAAATTGACGTTTAATATGATCCTTCTATTTGTTTGACGCTGGGAACAGATGGACGAGCTGACTCTCTCCCTGACAGGTGGTATAAACGGTTACAAGGTCCAACTGCGGGAGCTGTTCGTGAAGGGAGCGAGCAACTACACAGTGGATGATATTAAACTCGGGTCACCCTTCGAAGCCGTTATACGAATGCCAGCCCTCATCTTGGACGCGCATTATTCCAGGTCCACGATCTGCAAACGCTTCTGCTCTATTTAGATTCCGCTCGCTTTCCCCTCCGTCTCAGTTTATTGGCTTCTTACATCATGCGTTTTCTTACAGCTTCGCGTCGACACGTATTCGTTCAGTTCTTATATAAAATAGTCGTCGTTACGTTAACGAATTACACGGACGGTGTAATGCGGTTTAATTTATTTTTAGAGATTATTTTATTGAAAGGTAATCGTAGGTTTAATTTAGTTCAGGGGTACTGATCATTCTACCAGCTAGTGGTAACGGAACGTTTCACGCGCGGTTCGACGATCCCAAGGCTCTGGTCAAAGGCACCGTCTCGACGAAAGTGAAAGATGGCAAGACGTATCTTAACGTCGACAAACTCGACGTCGTGCTAGACGTGAAGAAAGTACAGATGAGAGTCAGGAAAATATTTAACAACAACCGAATCTTAAGTGAGTGATCGACAAAAATCATTATAATATTACTTGACTCTTCCTGATATTTAATATTTTTATAAAGTCATTAAATGTAATAATCAATTTCTCTCGGTATTAAAATTTCTGTATTTCTTTGGTAGAATTCAAGTGAAATTCATTATTACACTTTTTTATAAATAAATGTTTAAAATTGATGCCATGAATGTTTCACTTAAAAATCTGCAGTCTAAGAAAATATTAATTGACGCTTTGCTTTCGCAGCTGAGGCAACTAATCTGTTCTTGCGGGAGAACGGTCAAGAAGTATTGAAAGTGATGGAACCTCAGCTGAAGAAGAAGCTGTCGACGCTGTTCGCCGGTATCGTGAATCAGTTGTTACGCCACGTACCAGTGGAAGTGTTCCTCGTGCCTTAAACGCGAACCGAAAGGAACACTGGATTCAAATTAGTACATTCCCACGTTGTACATACAGTGGCAGCACTAACATAAACGATTACAATTTGGATTATATCAGGAGGACGAAGGAGCGACCGGTACCGTAACGAGGTTTGGTTTCACAATAATTCCAATGATTAGAGTCAATTGTAGAGAGAAATATACGTACATATATCTATATATTTATAAAAGCGTGGACTATTTTTCAATGAACCTTGAAATCATTATTCAACCTGAAAATTGATCATGCGTTACGATAAACGTTACGGAATCCTTTCGTAAACCGCAATTATTCAATTATGCTCTCGACACGAATAACTGCATACTGCATTTATTATCCGACTGTTCAATACCCAATTCGTGTCCAACAAGTGTGTTTTATATTTTATTTAGTTTAATACGATACATCGAGATCACTTTACTTAATCGAAATATAATAAAACAAAATTTAACATCGTTGAAGCTTCGTCGAATAACAGGAACGATTAACAATTTCTATAAACTCTGCATAGTCAGCAGATTTCGTTGATATCGAGGGAATACGGTTTGAGTTTGAAATAAACTTTAGAAAATTCTTCACTACTTTCTTGTATCCTCCATTCCCCCTTCTCTCTTCTCTTATTCTTTACTTCCCTTTCGTTTCTCCTTCTCTTCAATTGAAACTCTCTCAGAATTTATCGCTAAACCTTCTCAAGGGAACACCGTCGAAAAAGGTATCTTCGAGAAGAAGCGATTGATGAACTCCGTGAAATAAGTGTCCCATTCGTCCATCAGTGTCGGTAACATTGTGCGGTACACCACGGGCCAGTATTCGTTGGCCAGGGTCAGAGCAGCTCGGTCTAAAAAGAAATTAATTAAAAAAATCATATGCCTCGTTAAATCGCGTTTCGTCACATCTCGGATAGAAGTATGCGAAGAGACAATGGAATTCCTAATGGTATGTACGAGAGAGGTATTATCTCTACTTAGGAATCACGTAACAACCCAATGATGTTACGATAGGAAAAAGGCGAACGATGTCCAGCAGTCTAAGAAAATATTAATTGACGCTTTGCTTTCGCAGCTGAGGCAACTAATCTGTTCTTGCGGGAGAACGGTCAAGAAGTATTGAAAGTGATGGAACCTCAGCTGAAGAAGAAGCTGTCGACGCTGTTCGCCGGTATCGTGAATCAGTTGTTACGCCACGTACCAGTGGAAGTGTTCCTCGTGCCTTAAACGCGAACCGAAAGGAACACTGGATTCAAATTAGTACATTCCCACGTTGTACATACAGTGGCAGCACTAACATAAACGATTACAATTTGGATTATATCAGGAGGACGAAGGAGCGACCGGTACCGTAACGAGGTTTGGTTTCACAATAATTCCAATGATTAGAGTCAATTGTAGAGAGAAATATACGTACATATATCTATATATTTATAAAAGCGTGGACTATTTTTCAATGAACCTTGAAATCATTATTCAACCTGAAAATTGATCATGCGTTACGATAAACGTTACGGAATCCTTTCGTAAACCGCAATTATTCAATTATGCTCTCGACACGAATAACTGCATACTGCATTTATTATCCGACTGTTCAATACCCAATTCGTGTCCAACGAGTGTGTTTTATATTTTATTTATTTTAATACGATACATCGAGATCACTTTACTTAATCGAAATATAATAAAACAAAATTTAACATCGTTGAAGCTTCGTCGAATAACAGGAACGATTAACAATTTCTATAAACTCTGCATAGTCAGCAGATTTCGTTGATATCGAGGGAATACGGTTTGAGTTTGAAATAAACTTTAGAAAATTCTTCACTACTTTCTTGTATCCTCCATTCCCCCTTCTCTCTTCTCTTATTCTTTACTTCCCTTTCGTTTCTCCTTCTCTTCAATTGAAACTCTCTCAGAATTTATCGCTAAACCTTCTCAAGGGAACACCGTCGAAAAAGGTATCTTCGAGAAGAAGCGATTGATGAACTCCGTGAAATAAGTGTCCCATTCGTCCATCAGTGTCGGTAACATTGTGCGGTACACCACGGGCCAGTATTCGTTGGCCAGGGTCAGAGCAGCTCGGTCTAAAAAGAAATTAATTAAAAAAATCATATGCCTCGTTAAATCGCGTTTCGTCACATCTCGGATAGAAGTATGCGAAGAGACAATGGAATTCCTAATGGTATGTACGAGAGAGGTATTATCTCTACTTAGGAATCACGTAACAACCCAATGATGTTACGATAGGAAAAAGGCGAACGATGTCCCGTCGCCGGAGACAAAGACGCGAGGGTGAGCAGTGGGACATAGCGATTGCATGCTAATTAAGCGGTGTACAGGGGCTCTCTTGAAACGCGAATGCCCGTGCGTGCGACGTAACATTATGCAACGGTAGAACGTCGGAATGGTTTTACGTCTAATGAAAGTTTCTGCCGATCTTATGCAGTTACCATAAGTAAACACTGAATTACTTCCCGTACTCGCATTATGTCACAACGACTTTACAGTAATCCGAGCCGATTATATCAGACGGAAAATCCGCGATCGTGCCGGGAAAAATGACGATCGTAAATCTTCATAATAGGAGATTCGTAACGTCGAATTAAACCAGAAATTTCTTTACTGAACATTCACGTCATTTCTGACGTTCCATTCTTGGAAATTATTAAACTTTTTTATGCTAGGAAATCCTTAATCTGTGTGTCGAGCCTCTAAGAACGTCTTTGTATTCGTTTAATGAAGAATATAAGATATATTGATTTTTACTTAGATCTTCGTTTCCGTGGAAAAGATCGCTGAACCAGATTTTCATGTCGCCGATCGTAGGCGCTACTCTAAAGTGTTCCACGTTCCATTTGTCGTTTACTATGTGACCGGAGATATCCCAGGTACCTCTGATGTCTTCCATACTGGCGTTGAAAAATCCTGTTAAATCGAAAACCAAGAATAAACAACAGACCAGAATAGACTGGAAATACGAATATAAAGTCCGAATGACAATGCAATTATTATAGTGATTTACATAAAAAACAAGTAAATTATGTAACATGTTATTATGCTTGTTTACCTTTCCCACCAACTTTGAAAGTTTTGCTAAGAGATCCCTCGGCCTTGTAGTTGCCCTCGACCAGGATCTTCGGTAACTCCATGTCGATTTCTAATCGGAAGAAATCGCCGTTGATTTCCGGTTTCACAGACAGGAAACGAATTTTGGCTAGGCCGTACGCCCGGACGTCCGTGGCCGTCACGTGCGAACGAAGCTGCCCATTCTTGTAATCCATGACATGGCTCTCCACATAATAAGGGTCCAGGGGTGGAATGTTGAAATCGGGCAGTCCTGCAATGAAAAAGAAATTAAAAATTAATAAATACAAGAAATAGTATATAAATAAAATATAAATTGTATTAATTCGAAAATGAAATAGGAAATGTGAATAACTAATTAATTTAATAGGAAATG